TCAACGCAAAATTAATAGTCCTTCTGGGCAAATTGCCCCTTTGGATTAAAAAAAATTTGCAGTTCTGCATCACCAGTTCTACTCGGCCGATTGACAAAATTTAACTTGCATTTTTCATGTCTCGAAAGCTCGACTTCGGATATGTATTACATTTGGTTCTAGGAAAAAAAGCACAGAGGAAAAAAGGCCACAGGAATAATGCTCACAGGTATAAATGCTCACAGGAAAAACGCCCACACAGAAATATGGCCACATTAGAAAAAAGCTCTCATGGAAAAATGCTCACTTAGAAATGTACTCACACGGAAAAAAGCTCACATAGAAATATGTTCACATGGAAGTAAGATCACTGATAAATAATTCACGTAGAAATATCCATGCATTAATGAATCAATAATTAATATATTTGAACATCGTACACCTACTCTAATTTTCTAAAGAAAAATTATTTAAATTACCAAAACATATATGGTAAATATTTCAAAAACTGTATAACATGTGTATATATTCAGTTGCTATATAAGATTGCTATTAATTATGAGCCGTTTTTGAATTAAGAAAAGGAGAGAAGGAAGGAGGTAAAAATCAAAGAGAATATACAGTGAAACTTTTTTACAATTTTAATTAAAATTTAAAAATAAAATAATAATAAATATTATGTTATGCATTTTATAATCATTTAGCAAAATAAACAAATAGAAATTATTATTTTATTTAAATTACGTAAAATAGTTAATTTTATCATCGACGTCATGATACTTTCTTACATGATTCGCGATTACCAAACGTCAGTTTTCGTATTTTCTTTTTTTTTTTTACTTCAGTACATCCTGTATTTACATTAAATCTTTTTTCAGTCTGTCAAATAAAAACCACATACTAGGATGGCTATAATTAAATGATGAATTTAATACGTTATGAAAGCCTTCGCAACAATTTGCGATTTTAGAAGATTTTTTTTCGAAGGCTGCTTCATAGTGTTCAATAGAGAGGCATTCTCAAAGTGGCTAAAAATGTTAATTCTATTTCTAAAATTTTAAATTTCTGCAGAAATTTTACAAATGTTTTATCTCTAAGCTTAAATAACTACATTCAAACAACAATTTGTATAGGTACACATCAAAAGTATGCAAAAATAGAGTAAAAAAGCAAAAATTAAATATTGGCAATTACAGGAAAACAACTTTGTACAGGGGCAGTGGTATAAACATATTACAGCACCTGCAAAATTTTACTACAGTTTTCATGCTTTTATTTATCGCTTCTGAGAAGGTTAATGTGAGCATTTGTCCATGTGAACATATTTCATGTGAGCTTTTTTCCATGTGAGCATATTTCTATGTGAACATTTTTCCATGTGAGCTTTTTTCTATGTGGGCATATTTCCTCGTGGGCATTTTTCCTGTGAGCTTTTATACCTGTGAGCATTGTTCCTGTGGGCTTTTTTTCCTGTGGACATTTTTCCGGTTACCATTAGATTTATATATAGCATTTTCTAACAAAGGTGTTATGGACTATGCGTTATTTAGCAGATGAACTAGCAAAAGAGGCTGCAAACAATTCTTCCCTTCCAAATTACTCAATTCCATATCCAATATCATTAGTAAAAACAAAATTAGGAACAGAATTAATGCACTTATGGAAGCAAACCTGGACTGAAGTAACAACCGGCAGAAGAACTTTTACTTTCGTATCAAATCCTTCCAGATCATTAATATTTACCAACCGTTCAATTACATTTTTCCTAACATCTCATGGTCCATTTACAGAATACCTTCATAGATTCGGACTTCACCATGCAAATCTCTGTACCTGTGAGAATGAAGGTACAATAGATCATTATCTCTTTCACTGCAACCTTACTAAAGATTATCACCTTAAAGCATACAATTTAACTTATGCTCAGTTATGGTTTCAACAGTTATTAAAAAGTAATATTCTAAGACATCCTCTTCATAATATAATAAATTATATCTCCGCAAACATCGATAATCTTAAAGGAACTTGAAATCATATTATTCTTTATTCATTTACCTTACTTAATCCGCCACCCTTTCTACTACCTCATTTTAATGCTTTCACTCAAGACCATCTTTATTTAAGTGCATCTTCAAGATCTCCCAAGCTCAATCAAGAATTTAAGAATATTTTCTAACTCCATCTCCTTAATATATTAATCTTAAAAATATATTAATAAAGTCTCAACTCAAGATTATTAGTCAAGACTTTTATTCAAGGGTGACTCTCTATCAAGAATTTCCAAGAACGTTTCCTTCAAGTCATCCTAATTCATTCAAATACTATTTCTCATCAATTTTTAATCAATTACTGCTCTTCATTCTCCATAAGGAAAACCTATACTCTTATTCTTTACTCTTTACAAAACTTATATTCTCAGCCCCTACTATTCTCATACATTATGTTGTTCATTTTCAAAATTTCTAACGATCTTCTTAAGCATTTACTTACGTATTTATGTTTCATTTATCATGTATGTTTTATTCATCATGTATTATTACTCTGCCCCTACTATTCACGTTTCCTTCACGTTTCCTTAAGTAAGTACTTAAGGTATTATTATTTAGGTATTGTGTATTTATATATTTAAATTTTAAAATTTTTATTATATAATTCTCAAAATCCTAATACTATATTGACTTCATATATAACAACATTGTATTTATCTTATTCTAAATTTTTTAACTTTTATTTATTGTATCTATTTATGTTTATTATTTATTGTATTATTTATATATTTATTTCTTGATATTTAATTTTTATTATGTAATTATCCAAATTCTAATATTTTATTGTATTTTATATAACAACACAGCTGGTAGATGATTCCATCAGTTGGCCCACCAGCGGCCGAGCGGTAAAGTCGCTGAACACTGGTAGTTAGGTCCGAGGTTCGAATCCCGCGAACGGGCTGGCTGCATGGGTGTTTTCGTGGTTTTCCCCATGTGTAACGTGTATACTAGCCAGTTTCCTTAGAAAGTCCTCCACGAAGGCATCCCTCCCCTTAGGCAGATAGCCCTCGAGACTTTGTCGTAATTAAATAACCTAACCTAACCTAACGATTCCATCAGTTGAGCGTAACAGCTAAATGTCTTAAAGGCGGTGCAGCTGCTCATCTGATGGTAAATAAATAAATAAATAACAAAGATGTTATGACACAAAATACGATTTCTTCTGAGATGACATATGATTGTTTTCCATATTTCGATTCTACAACTCAAATTATGTCAAAGTGCCAAGTTTTGTTAAATATTAGCTCGTCAATGTTAATTGTATTTGCTATATATTTATTAATTTCTTTTTTATTTTGTTTAACCCACTTCATTGCTTCAAATAAATATGGAGATATTTTCTGAATTATTTTAAAAATTTTTGTTTTTCAATAATTTTTATAAATTTTTCGAAAACATTTCTGAATTGTACTCTACCAAATTTTTACAATCATCTTAAAGTAGATGTATTTCTAGGCATACCTGGTAAAATTTAGAGCTTTTTTTATTTAAAATGTTTTAACATGTACTAGAAAGTATTTATTGGTGCGTTTTGATATTTGGCATATTTGTTATAAACTATTATAACGCCACATGTGCTTCACGAACTTTGTTAAAATTATTTGAAAGAATGAATGATGCAACATTTTTCCACTGCTGCTCAATGGAAAATGGGAAAGGAAAGTAGGTTACCATAAATTAAGAATTTCGCCAAGTGAGTTATTCTCTGCGCAGACTGAAAAATGTGAGCCACGGTTAAATGTTGAATTTCTCGCCAATTTCCCACCTAATTTTACAAAATTTAATATTTTGACATAATTTGCGTCGCAGAATTCGAAATATGGAAATAAAGGTTTGTCATTTCAGAAACACCTATGTTAGAGAAATGGGTACTCTTCTGTTTCGAGGCCCGTAAAAAAATTGCAGCGAAAATGTATGCGCAAAAGCGCTAAATCTAGCAAACGCGCCCATTTAACAGCGCGCCAAATCTAGCGTACGCGCTGATTTCAGATTGCGTAAGTTTATATAGTTCTATATTTCTTAAGACGCCATTGAAATACTAGTTTAATTTTTAAATCCTTTTTTGATTTTAAATCCTCTTTTGATATCCTATGTATTTAACAATTTGGGAATTGCCCATGACGAAAAGTCGGCAATAGAATTTTGGGTAAAGTGCAGAATCACTCACTGCTTGACGCGTTTTTAAGAATTGCACATACTCGGTGTCCATGTGCACATCGACCTATTTTCACTCAAAACAAAAATCCCAGAATTGCACAAAAATGGCACTGCGCACCTCCTTGACTTTATCTATGTACACATCGACCTGTTTTCATTTAAAAAGTAAAATAAAATTCGCAAAAATCCAATTGTTTTTACCCTTGTAAAAAGCGGCAAACAAATAGTGAGCGATTCTGCACATCTGAATTCCGATTCTGATTTTTTTCAAAGAAAAGGCATCATTTATTATAGAAAATTATGTCTGAACAAGCAACGAGATGAAATTATGCTTTAGTGATAAGTCGGTAGCGAAATAGCGATGCAGGCATCCATTCAGTTATGTTTAGCAATTTTTATATAAATTATAATAATGATTTGAAATAGTTATTTACTCTTATGTTTCCATTCAGTCATGTTTAGCCTTTTTCATATAAATTATAATAATAAAAAAGTATTATATGAAATTAACCTTTCATCTAAATTAAAACATCAATCTTAGATAGTTATTTACTATTATACTTCCTTTCTTGCCGCAATTTTTAGGGTTGCCGCAATTACTTTTGGCAGCATTGGCATCAACAATAGTTTGGCGATTTTTTACGGCCCTCGAAACCGAATAGTACCGAAAAATGTTATGAGTCAATCTTACTTATGTATACTAAGCCACGCTTTTTAGACATGCAAAACGCAAGTTGAATTTCGCCAATCGGCTCCGTGGAGTAGAAGATATAAAACTGTTCTTTTTTTTAAAAAGCTGTATTTTTATTACAGGGATTCCAAACATTGATCCATTAACTGAAGATGCTTTCCTGCTAAGATTTCTTAGGGTAAGAAAATATGATGTACAAAGAACATTAAAGACTTTGTTAAAGTATTACAATTTCAACAAAGAGTATTCCAAAGTTTACGCAAATCTTCTGCCATCGGAACTGAAACCAATTTTGGATCTGAACCTGCTATGTGTTCTTCCGAAAAAGCACCCTTCTGGAGCTATAATTTTCTGGAATAAATGTTGTAAGTTTTGAAGTTATATTGAATCAAATGATTTTAAAATGCTAGCTATTTATATATTTAAGAACTGACATTATATACAGTATTTCCTTGCGTATTTTCCCCTGTAGGTGTTTCAGCGCTAGATTCTGAAAATTTTTACATATTTCCCCTTCCTCTGTTACACATATATTTTTCTCTCTGAGGACTACTTGGTAAAATTTATTGCCTTAATTAATTTCATTTTTATGAAGTTTATTCAGTTTGTATTTGTATTTTACTTCATTCCCGTTTTAGAACTTTATTCCCGTTTATTTCTCCTTGCATTTATTATCTGAAACGTATTTTGTGCGTATTATTCTTTAAGCTATCCAGACATGGCGGGTATTCTCACACTGAAGAAACTTTCCAACATCCAAACTTCACCTTATTTCTTTTATTAACGTTCCAGTTCACTGTATCTTTAACTACTGCTGATACTTTAACTACTAGCATTTCGTTAATACGAATTAATATTTATTATTCTTATTTTTATTGATCGTCTGCTCTTTTTTAAGTTTGGGTTACCTAATTTTAAAAATTCTGCGTTGAAGTTAAATAAGATCTGCAAGAGAATAATACTGTTCTTCATAGAAAATGGAATCAAAACTAAATTGTTCTTTCACAAGTGAATACAATACTCTTTTCGTATAAAGATAGGCCTTTTAAAGCTCCATCAAAATATATCATACTAAAACACATTATTTATTGTGTGTACCAGATTAAAAAAAAGTTAAATAATTTGTTGTTATCGTATAATATTATAAATTTTTTGTTATCGTATAATAAATTTGTTGTTATAATATTATAATAAATTTGTTGTTATAGTATAATATTATAAATATAAAAAAATCACAGTTACAATTTTCTACAATACCTCAAGTAAATAAAACTTTTACAGTTACTTATTGTAACTTCATGTAATATTCAGTTACTTTACCGAAATAAGACTTAAATATTAGATTTCGTTGGAATAAACAAGATTATATAATTTCGCCAAACGTTATGATTTAGGAAAATTAAATAAGCATAAAATGCGTACAGTTTTACATTTCACTTTTCTTCGAAATAGTATTTTTGTTTCATGAATTGATAAAAAATAAGCAACTTTCCTCAGTCCTCAGCGACTTTACAACTCGGCGGCTGGCGAGCCGCGCATACATAATTAGTAGCTATATTTCTTGCACCCATATAAACTATCTCTTATCTGTTCACTTATTGCAACTCTAGGTTACATTTTTCATCTACATAATGCAATGATGCAAAATTTACAATGTCACGGGCTAAACTACAAGGTGTGTTCGAAAAGTTTGGTGAATTTTACCATAAAAAAATGAAACAAGAGAAACAAGCAAAATAGCTTTACTGGCCTTTAAAGTATTCGCCATTAGCAACAATGCACTTTTGACATCGGGTGTACAATTGTTGGAAACTGTCTGCAAACGCTTCTTTCGGTATGGCTCGAAGCACCGTTGTCACACGTTGTTGGATCTCAGTAATGTCGGAAAAGTGTTGGCCTTTCAGAACTCCTTTGAGGCGGGGAAACAGGAAGAAGTCCGCGGGAGCCATATCTGGAGAATATGGAGGATGATCCAAAATGCTTGTCTTTGACATCCTCCTTTCCGTCTGTAAAGCGTTTAAACCACTCATAAACCCACTTTTTACTCACTGCTTCCTGAGCGTAAACTTTCACTAACATGTCATGTGTCTCCGTAAGCGTTTTGCCTAACTTGAAGCAAAACTTTATGTTTATGCGTTGCTTCATGTCACGCTGACAATCTTTCTCACACTGACTGTGTTAAACTGCTCATAGCATGCGCTTTCTCTTATCTGTTGTAAAATGGCCGTTAGGTGGCTCTAGATGACATTTCTCTCACTGCGTCTGCGTGAGTGCAAGATCCTAACCTGCGCGGTTTCATAATTATGAGACCAATCACCGAACTTTTCGAACACACCTTGTATATATTTTAATATCATTTTGGAATCCACAATTGCGGAATTATTTACTTTTTATCTTTTTAAATTTTTTTATAACTTAAAAAGAACTCTTTCTATTATTTTATTTGTTTTATAGCGAATTTGGATTTAGATGTGGGCAATTTGGATTTAGATGTTTTATTTGTTTTATAGCCAATTTGGATTTAGACGTGGGCAAGGTTGATGATGTTGGAGCTCTTGGAATATTGTTTGGAGAAATATACTTATTGCAGGAATCAGTCCAAGTGAGCGGGGCTCACGTTATTATAGATTTCAAAGACTGCAGTTTACAACAACTGTATAATATCTTGTCCATTACCTTTCTCACAAGGTTTTTCAAGTATCTACAGGTAAGCATTTAAACTTAGTTTTACTTTAATTAGAATTAGTTTCTAGTTAGATTATATTTTGAATCATATGAATATTATCAACGTAAATATTGATGAAAAATGTGAATCACTTTTATAGATAAATTGCCAATAATCATTGCCAATAATAATTTGCTTTATGGAAAAGTATTGCTGCGTACGTACGGGTTAACAATTGCAGATTGATAAAATTTATTTTACAAGAAGGAACACTTTGCAATTCTGCAAACTCCATCAAAAATACTCGTACAGCTCTTCTCAGTATCACAGAACCCAATCAGTGGTTACACTTGAAACTACCAAGAGCGTTAAACACAACGCAGTGCAAAGCGTATCTAAAAAGCAGAAGTTCCTACCGAGATCTCTCAATATTCCGAACTCACACTGAACTAAATAAATACTGAGAAACTAATATTTTCATCGATCTTACATAGTTTTCTCCGATCCTTAGTACCTTCCACTTCTCGAAATAACTGAAAGGCATATGAAGGCCAGATACGGTTACGCTTGTATATAGGATCAATTATAGGTACTCATTTACAATATCCATTATAAACATACAGCCACCGGACCAAAATGTCGCTTAACAATTGCCAAGTTTGGCAACTTTTGGCGATTTTTCTCCAAATTTTGGAATAAAAATCAGTGGATAAAAGCTATTGCCAGCTTGGCGATAACTTGTCAATTTAACGACATGGTCATTTACTCAGTGCTAAAAACACTTGTCCCTCTCCTGTTCTCTTATTTTCCGGTAGAGCATCTTCTCTTTCAAGCGTTTTATGGGTACTTTTCCATTTCGTCGGCGCAAATCTCGCCTTGGCGACAACACACAATAACAAATTTTTATTTTTAAGGCATAAACATTTTAATATCATTTAAAATTTTGTAAAAAGCCATAAATAAAGACAATAAATCTGTAAAAAGCATTAATTTAATAATTTACTATGTATTTATGGTTCAACATCCTGATTCGCCGGTTCATATCACATGACCCCAAGTGATCTCATCTCACGTAAACTACGCTACAAAACTCTAATTCTCTCAGTAATTATCTAAGTTAATATCAAGTTAAATCTTTATATGGAATAGATGTTTAAATACAAGAATCATTTTAATTCGTACGAATAGCTTACTCAGAAAGTATGTAAAAGCGCAGTGCTTTACTTCGTTAGTGCATTCTCATTAGAATTGATGAATTTAACATTTGATTTTGCCTTTTCTATATTTTCGCCTTCGGGTGAGCGGTGTGATTGCATCCTAATTGACTTAATTACCGCAAATTCCCTTAGAGCATAACATTGAACTATCTAATAAACTTCTAAGTAATTGTATGCCAATATTGAAGGAACCAATCAATTTGATAAGAAATGGCTGCGAATTGTTTTGAAAATGAGGCGTAAAAGGTTAGCAGCGAGGATATTCCGTTTGGCATCAGTTGTACCACTTTTGGCGACTTTATCGCCAGCGCCGGCAAAATAGAAAAGTACCGTTTTATGTTACATCATGTAACAAATACTATAATTTTACATACAATTTCACTAAAATTATTTACACATGTACAAATTAGTAACAGTATTGTTTATAAAGTTCTAATTTTTTTAGAAATCTTAAAAAAAGAAATGCCATTTATCCTCAACGCACGTAGCTTCACCCATTCCCAGACAAAAAATCCTTAAACACTGCAAGTTATATTTAGTAGTTTCCATTCAATGCGGTTGCTATTAATGTTATTATTCGCATCACGATATCGAATTACAGAAATTAACTGGTTCCTTCGTTAGTAAAAGTCAACCTGTTGTTACGAATTTGTATTTAGATAGCTAATTTTGGTAGAATTATATTTAAAATTGTTTTATTTCCCCGTGCAATGCAGCGTGAGACAAATTTTCAGAGAAAGCTATGCCGAAAAAGTAAAAGTACAGGGGCACGTGCATTGAATATATCTCGGCACACTCTTGACACTGTGGATCTCGGAATGTTGAATTCCCTAACGATATCCGAAATGGAATGACCCATGCGTCTAGCTCCAACTACCATTCCGTGTTCAAAGTCTGTTAATTCTCGTCGTGCGGCCATAATCACGTCAAAGCCTCTTCACATGAATAACTTGAACACAAATGAAAGCCCTGCCAAAGCACTTCGCATTTATACATTTTCTACGTGATACTACTGCCATCTGTATACTTGCATATTGCTATCCCATGACTTTTGTCACTCCAGTGTATATATATCCAGAACCCACACGCCCAAGTAGAAACTTATGACATCAATCTCTGTAAAATAATACCATGAGTGAAACAAAATAAATCTTATAATAATAAATTAAGTTGTCCATTTTCAGTAGATAATAAATAAGTCTTATTATTGTACGCTTTGGCCACAACGATTCCTTTTGCTCACGCTAGTGCATTCGCTAGGAACGTCGAAACCTGCTTTTGTTCTCATCCTTAACGCTTTGCGGTACAGTGTGTTCCGTCTGGACACACCTAAAAATTTCCTTCTGTACCCACAGAAAAATTGAATGAAAACGGATTTATACGTTACTATACGTTACACTGAACCTTCTTTATTTATGGCAGCTCAACACAAACCAGTCCATATATTTTAGCCATGTTTAGTTTTTTAAGACCTCATTTTTCAAAGAAATCTTCCAGATGTTTTTTAGGGGGGTATAAAAAGGAATTGTTTGAAAAGAAATTTCTATGCTTATTTTTTTTGGCTGTATGCTAATCTCCTTATTCTATATTAGTTTTAATTTTTTTACCTAAAATCAAATTTTAATCAAATTTTAATTTTAAATCTTGCCTAAAATCAAACGGCAAACCCTAGGTGTGCCCATACGGGGCTCACCAATAATCTAGGATAACTGAGAGTCTGTATTCTTTGTTTCTCCGCATCTCGTCGGTCAGTTCATTGACAACAATGCTCGTTTCAGCACTCTATTCAATCAGTGCGCCCCCTCTTCGGGCACACCCACAGAAATAAACGATAAGTGCTATGTTAACAAAATTTTACTTCTGTACTCCTCTTGGCCTAATTAGACTGTCTACCTTTTTTTATCAAAACTTCGACTGTAAAAGGTAGCGTGCCGGAAAGGGTTAACTGAATTATCTGTAAAAAGTGAATGAAAATTAGAGGCACAAATTTCGTGATTTCCGCGTGCAAGAACGACTATTTCCTTTTGAAAGTTTATGTTCTATCATAAAGGAAAGATGGTTTAGAAGATGTACACTGCACAAACAAAAAATGGGACAGTTATATATCTGCCGTTTTACTGGGCCGATTGACGAAATTTATGTCGTGCTGTCAGTAAACGCACTCGAGTCGGTCTTCTGTTGGCATAGCCCAAGGAAGACAAATTTCGCCGCACTGTCCTATCGGACATGTCCCTCGTACGTCCCACATTGATTTCTGAGGTTATTTGACGCAGTGTTGCTTGTCTGTGAGCATTGACAACTCTACGCAGACGTCGCCGGTCTCGGTCGTTAAGTGCAGGTGGTCGGCCACTGCACTGTTCATGGTGGGATGTTATGCCTGAAATTAGATACTCTCGGCACACTATTAACACTGTGGATCTCGGAATGTTGAATTCCCTAACGATATCCGAAATGGAATGACCTATGCGTCTAGCTCCAACTACCATTCCGCGTTCAAAGTCTGTTAATTCTCGTCGTGCGGCCATAAACACGTCAAAGCCTCTTCACATGAATAACTTGAACACAAATGAAAGCCCTGCCAAATCACTTCGCATTTATACATCTTCTACGCTATACTACTGCCATCTGTATATTTGCATATTGCTATCCCATGACTTTTGTCACTTCAGTGTAATTTCAGGCATAACATCCCACCATGGGCAGCGCAGTGGCCGACCACCTGCACTTAACGACCGAGACAGCGACCTCTGCGTAGAGTTGTCAATGTTCACAGACAAGCAACACTGCGTCAAATAACCGCAGAAATTAATGTGGGACGTACGAGGGACGTGTCCGATAGGACAGTGAGGCGAAATTTGTCTTCCTTGGGCTATGCCAGCAGAAGACCGACTCGAGTGCCTTTACTGACAGCACGACATCGCCTGCAGCGACTCTCGTGGGCTCGTGAGCATATCGGTTGGCCCCTAAACGAATGGAAAACCGTGGCTTGGTCACCTAGATCGCCCGACATGAATCCCATCGAACATTTATGGGAGATCATCGAGAGGTCAGTTCACGCCCAAAACCCTGTACCGTCAACACTTTCACATTTATGGACGTCTATAGAGGCAGCATGGCTCAATATTCCTGCAGGGGACTTCCAACGACTTGTTGAGTCCATGCCACGTCGAGTTGCTGCACTTCGCCGGGCAAAAGGAGGACCGACAAAATATTAGGAGATATCCCATGACTTTTGTCCCTTCAGTGTATATACTTCTTAATGTAGACGTGCTCGTAATGCGGGCATTGCATAAAACAGACTTTTAACAAACGGATACTTTATTGACACGCGAACAAAACAAGAACAAATAAGTTAACACAAACAGTGTATATGATAAAGTTTTTCTGCAGAGTAAAATTCTGTGCAGATTTTAAATTTAATGGTTGGTGTTTCCTATAGGCACTTTTCTGATACATTTAAAAGCCAGACGAAGACTGGCAGCGTAGCGGCTAGTTTCAAATAAAGTAGCGGCTTGCTTTGAGCAACGTTTGGGAAGTAGAAATTTAAAACCTTTTTTATAATCATTTCTCAATATTGTTGCTTGCATACGGGTTCGTAATAGATTGAATGCATAAGTCCAATAAAATGTTAATAAAATTTGTTCTTATCAAAAGAAATATGACAGAACACTGGAATTTTCCCCAGAGACATTCGTACAAGTGTTCACAATATCACGCAATATAATCAGTAGGTATAATTCAAACTACTGAAAACGTTTAAATACAACGCAATACAAAACGTTATCGAAAGCTAATTCAGATATCTCGGTTTCCGTGGAATCAAATAAATCGCAGCAACAATAACTAAACAAATATCTAAACAACTGAGCTTAGATGTCTCTTTCCGCCTTTAAACAGTTTCAAACCAGCCGGGAGAGATAGTTCTAGCATTTGTTGCTTCTCGGGAGATTTCTGGAAATCAACAAGAAGATGGAATGACGGTTACAGCTAACATAATGGTCAATTACATTTATTCAGTTTCAATACGAATTACCAAGATAACCATACTATATCATAATCATAATTCCTAATGCTTTCATTAGTATTTATTGTTGCTTAAATTTGGAAAACACTACTTAAAATCTACTTTGCAGTAAGTTCTAGGCAACAAAATATTTCAAATTATTGGGAAATTTCTTTAAAGAAAACTTCTTAAAATCTATTTTAACTAACCTAGAAAATGTTAAGGTGGCTTTCACAAGCTGTTTCCTTCTCTGATCATAACTCAGAGAAGGAAACAGCTTATGAAAACGATATAAATTGCATTACTCTTTTCAAGAATAGAAGGAAAATTATTCTAAAGGCGAATTTCTTCTTGGAAACATAGAAAGGCGAAGAGAAATCTTTTCTGTTTTACCGCGCCGAATTAGAAAAGAAAGGAAATTCCACTCAAGAAATTTAAGATTAATTCTTTTTTTTTTCCTCTTCGAATTCTCCTTAAAGTTTCAATCCAAAGTTAATTCCCGATAAAAATTTTAGCCTCTGTGCTCCCCAAAATTGTGTGTAGATACATATAATGACGCGCTCATTAAAAACGGTACAATATTCTTACCTTAAGCGAGCACTGCAGTGATCATTTTTAAAAGAAGAAAACTTCCCTCCATCTTGGAATTTACCATCGTAATAGACGTGAGCGAATTTAAAAAAAAAAATAATATGGTCATTTTTCCAAATAGTTGATATTTGTTCATGGACTTTGCCTTTACCAAAACAAAAATTAAAAACATTTTTACGTCCAGCACGCAAGACTGTCTGTGGGAAATTCTAAAGATATGCTGTTTGTAAATGTTTAATGGTTTTGCTGTTGAATCGTATTTTATGTGGTGTAAGCACCAAGAACGTGATTTTAATAAACAAAGAAAACATACAAAATGTTAATACTAAAAAGACATATAAAAGTTTTTTAAAACCCTCTTAGTAAAAAAAAAACTGAGCGTTGATATAATGAACTGAGAAAATGAAAAAAAAAAAAAAAATCTGAAAGGTTTCAGATTTTACATTAAGCCCAAACGGACTTCTTTTAAGGTTTTGGGTGTTACCTTTATTTATTAAATAAAATGGTCTTCGCACTTAAACCATAATAATTCAAGAGCAATATCGCAAAATAATTTTAAAATGAGCATATCTTTAAAATTTATGATACACAGTCTCGTGGGCTGGAGATAAAAATGCTCTTTTTTTACTCTACAGTGTTGCCAATGCTCGCTTTGAAATCGTTGAGTTTGTTAATCAACAATTCGTTAAAGTGTTACAAAGTATGAAATCGATAGTAAAACAAATTCACAATTCAAAATTAGGGCTTTCAGATGCCCATATTCGCTGGAGGACTACGTTATTCAAAACCGGATGACTCTAGGTAGCGCCGTCTTATCACAATGCGAGAAACATACATGCATTTATGCAGATTCTTCATTATTTAACTTCTCTAAATATAACACAGGACTATAATATTTGGTAGCATCTATTTGAAAAGTGATACGCCGTTTATAGTGATTCAACGTAAAATGCCAAACTAAATTAATAGCCCTCTTGGGCTAACACCCTTGGGGCTAAAAATTGCATAAGAATATTTTTTTTATAAAAGACAATACTGAGTACGATTTTATACAGGAAAGGAAAGTTTACTTACGGAAAAAATGCAGTAATGAAATAGGGAAATGAAACGTAAATCATTATGAAGTCTTAATGTAATGTTTTTCTATTAGGTTAGGTTGTTTAATTACGGCAAAGCCTCGAGGGCTATCTGCCTAAGGGGAGGGAGGCTTTCGTGGAGGACTTTCTAAGGGAAACTGGCTCGTATACACGTTACACATGAGGAAAGCCACGAAAACACCCATGCAGCCAGCCCGTTCGCGGGATTTGAACCTCGGACCGAACTACCAGTGTTCAGCGACTTTACCGGTCGGCCGCTGGTGGGCCCGTTTTTCTATTAAATGAAACGCTACTTACGTATTATCACAATCAGCATAAGTAGCTGTCGCCAAGTTTTCAGAATATGAGAACTTTGGGAACTGTTGTGTAACTTGTTATCTAATTTAACTAATATTAATTTTAGTAACTGATTGGTTTTGTTAAAGTGGTTATTTAAAAGTTTGATTTCAGCTGTAATTGTGTTTGGTAATGCTAATTAACCTTTTTAACTTGAAAAAGGTAACTGAATTAACTTATTTACTTTCTTTTTGTAAAACTTAATTTAGCTCATGTTTGGCTTTATCGCTTTGAATTCATTGGTGGTTTGTTTGGATGTTCCTCAAGGCAATTAATTTCAATTTTTGTATGTTTATTTTAGTCCCCCACGTGATCCTTAAAAGAAACATGGATTCTTCCAGAAGGACCCGACTAAATAATATCAGTGTAGTTTCGAAATTAATTATTTATGTGTATTTGAACTATGCGATAGGATATTTTTATTTTTATTTTAACCCGTGACTGAATTTTTCTCGTGTGGATTATCCTTCCCTAGTGTTTTGAGGTGTTACGTATTTGTCTTTGAATGAAAAGTGTTTGTGAGTATCAGTAGAGTTTAGGAATTATTGTACTGAGATTTACTTGTTCAGGAAAGTCAGAGGATGTAGTAAGAGAGAAAGTATTTATAGAATTTGAAAATGATTTGCATTTTCACATTTTATTGAAAAATAAACTTTTGATTTCACGTCAGAACAACAGAGAGGATATTATCTCATTTCAGTGTAAAGGTATTGACTTAAAGAGTTTGAGGTTTGAAGCAATATAATTTGCTTTACAAAGATGACAGTTTAGGTTAAAATCTAAATGGTTTAAACTTAATAGTTATTAAACTAAAAACTTTTTAAAAACTAAAAGGTTTTTATTTTTTTAAAACATTTTAGAAACCAAATAGTTTAAACTAAACAGTTATTAAACTAAAAACGTTTTAAAAATTAACATTTTTTCAGTTTTTTAAAACATTTTTAAAACTAAAATATTTAGTTTAAAATAAATAGTTTAACTTCAATCACCAGTCAGTAGATTCCAGATATTATGTCAATTTAGTTTTAAATTTAGTTGTCCACCACCAGTTGTTCTGTGTTCTGAGAGTTAATTTAACAGAACAGTTCAAGTTAAATGTACATAAACGTATTTTTAAAATTTAATTATTTTTACTACATAACAAAATCAATCGCTCTTCAAGCGACCGTGATCATAATAATCCTCTAGTCAAGCAACGTCGCCATTTTTCGTAGCATTCTTTCCACTGCATTTCACGTTCTAACGGATAGAAAAATTGTGATATTTTTTGCATTCAACTCAACTTTAGTATAGCTTGAAGCATTTGTCAGCAGTAGAAGAAATTGAGGTAAAAGTTCAGGATTAGAATATTTTATCAAAAGATTCCTAAAGGAAATAATAATGCGATATGTCTGGTAGATGGTACACAATGCCAAATTTTTGCAATCTTTTCAAAGCGGAAACTGATCGTTGTGTACATGGGCAGAAGAAGAGTTAAAAAATTAGAGAACGAGTCTGTAACAAATACGTGTTTTGTATTTTTTAATGTATCATACTATTATCCTTAGTTAATAATTTAAACTTGCATTATAAAAATTTTAAAAAGAGATTATCCTTTTGCATGTTGATAATGTTTAATAACTTTCAATAAATACCGATAATTTGAGTATGTTATTGAAACAAATATGGGAAAATCACCCACTTGAGCGTGATAAGTAATTTTTACCTTTTCAAATGTAAAAACCCGCCATATTGGGCGAAGGTGGTTGCGTTAATACGAAAGCACCAATAAAACGTTTCTAAATTCGAAGACCAGGACGTAATCGTGTCCATTCTCAATCTGTGCAGTCCTAACACATATGATACTTAATATGAATTATATTTTGCTAAAATTACATTCAAATGATGGACCAGCGAATTATCGATCAAGCCTGAAATCAAGCAACTATCTTAGAAATTTTATAAACTCTTTAAAGTAAGACAAGACTTGTGCTACAAAATCTAACATCGCTACTTATGGGTTTTTAAAAAAACACACAACTGAAAGTTTAAATTCGAGAGGTGCAGTCTAATACTACACGCAGAATAGTTTACTTAAGCTGGTTCAAGTAATTAACTCTGCGTATTTAAACGTCGGCTAGCAAAATGGCTAAAGCCGGAAAAATCTTTGAAAAAATTGAGGATAGTAACTGCAAAGCAAAGCTGCCAAAAGCACTACCTAAAACATTCAAATCATCGGTTTAAATATACTATAGAGTCGTTAGGGATTTCTGAAGTAAAACAGAAGAAAAATGAGCAGTGCCATCGCATGGACTCGAACCGAACCTCTCGAATATGCGCCGAGTGTGCTACCGTTTTACCACAAAAGCATGGGGAAGGAAGGAAGAAATTAGCTTAAATACAACAACCCATTTGCATTCTTTTTGGACAACGGAAAGAAGTTAATATTCAAATTATAATAACTGGTTAATTAACATAAAATCCTACGAATTTATCTTTCAGTAATGCTGCTTTATCCTTACAGGAATGTTGGCCATATCGACTCAAAGGCTTCCATATAATAAACGAGCCTCTATACGTGCATTATGTATACCGGATTATAAAGGTTTTTCTGACAAAAAAATTAAAAGAAAGGGTAAGTAATAATAAATATACAATAGGTTTTTAGATAAAGTTATTTCAATTTTTTTATTTTAACAATATTTAGTTCTGCTATTTTCTAATTTTGACACGATATCTTTTTCTTTTAATTGCAAGGAAATATATAATGAAATTGTAAGAAATATGAAGAGCGATTTAAAACAATTGTGCGCATGACCGATAATTCAAGAGAAGTAACTACTGTTGCGAAATGCCCGGCCGTGGTAAGATTACTTCTCTGCAGAGCGAGTTTAGGATTGCCAGAAAATGGAAAGAAAGGGCAGGGTTAACAAATTTGGCCCGAAATCTCCCGTTTGGGAAATTTGGCTACAGAATTGGCGATGTGAGATGGAACGAGAATATTCTAGAACGAATTTCTACCGATTTACCCCAGAATGTTCTCGAAGGCAGATCAAAAGCTATACAAAACACTGCCTGTACGCGGAGTGACAATGTATCGTCGAGTTTATCTTCAGTGTTTTGAACTCAGAGATTAGCTTGAAAGCGATCGACTGAGTCGGGAGCTGGATTTTAGTGCTTTGCCGTGAAGCTATCTTCACCGTTATTGGCTGTGTTGCTGATTGTTTCAGCATGTTTACCGTAATTTTTCGACTACGGTAAATAGTCTTGCAAATATCCTGTGAAATACTGACGTATGGATTGTGTTTTGTTTCTTCATCAAGTGTTACCACCAGTCACTCCAAATCTACGAATCTGTAGAACGCAACAATATTAACAATTATTGTACAGTTCCAATAATAAAAATTGCTGCAGACCGAGCTTCGACTTAGCCATAAAGTTAGTGTTATTATGTCAGTTATTGACTACACTTAGCTCAGGTTCTCAAGTTTTTGACTAACGCGTAAAACTTTAGTATTCCCCTACATTTTACAATGACTATTTTTCAATTTATAAATAGAAATATAAAATAAAATATACATATGTTTCCATTTGCACAACCTATGGCTATATTAAATGTGTGCGCATAAAAAATATTAAATTAAAAATTGGTTACCATTTAATTATCAAAATTTAAGTTATAATACTTTAATTCTGAAATTTAGTGTGAAATTTGGGCCTGTTTAAGAGAGAGCATTTTTTTACGTCTGGACTTATTTCACTTAACTTTAATCATAAATTAGGATCCACTTCTAATTTTGTTCTGCATTTCTTTTTTAAATAAAACGTAGAAGGAAATCCTTGTTCACATAAATAGGTTGTGCAAAAATGCAATAAAAATGTAATAGCTTTATTTGAAACGCCTTTAAATTCTTTTTGGCGGTTCAGCCAAAAGTTAACAAGTGTGTTATTTTCGATCTTTAACACGTTGAGCCCGGCGCCGAATTTGCTGTTCTTTCCGTTCAGCCGGTAATCGGCTGGTTTCGGTTCAGCCGATTATCTTGGTAACAAAATCGGCTTAATCCACATTCATAACAAAATGTTACCAAAAAAATTGTTACGTGTTGTAATATGTGTAAACCTATGCCGTACTTTCGTTAGAATGTTTCAATAAATTTCATTAAAACTACATTTGGGAACTACTCTTATAAGCGCCCAAACTCCACGGTGCCATATTACTACGTCTACATTTCGAACTTTAAACCTAAAATGTCTTCAAAAACGCGGTTTTCTCATGGAAAAACCACGTTTTCAACACACAATTTAAGCTAAAAAACCGAAGCAAAAACAAAACATTTAGATAGCGAAAACGTAAAGTTTCTAACCAAAAATATTTGACAAGAATCCATGTACACAGCGATATGTTTTAACTTAACATCTACTCGCTTTAATAAATTAACATAACAGCAATAAATTTCAAAGAATACCATGTACACAGCATCCTGTTTAAACTTAAAAAAATATCTACGAATTGCACATAGGTATTGAACACGAATCAACACAATAAACTAAAATAGCTAAAATTACAAACAATTCAAAAAACAACAGTAACAACAGAAATTCATAGTAAAAAGCAATGAATATAATATTCTACAAAATAAAAACTGTAAAATAAAATGCACTTACCATAATATATTCGTTAATAAAATTTCACCAGTCACACAACGTCTGTGAACAAAAGTGCCACAATTTTGCTATATCACATCTCTTTCTACGATTCAAAATTTCGAAAGTAACAATAAAAACTTCCTCCAACGTTAACTTGCTACACGAAATCCACGATCCAAATTTTAAACTCCGCTGACAGTCATATACTCTATCAGCAAGCATTTAACTGCAAGTCCACAGAAGAACTATCAGAAACGCCTTTCTTCGTCCGAGTTCTCCAACTCCGCATTTCGAACTTCATTTTAAAAGTCCCACAGAAATTCCAAACACTCCGATCCTCGAACAATTGTGAACAATGTGAACAAAAGACTCTTTAACAACTCCAAAATCGTACCTTTTAATACTAAATTTACTTTCCACACAATCTAAATACGCAACTGAAATCTTGCCACCACGTCTATCATTGCAACATAGGCCATTTCAAAACACGCACGACACGAATCAATGAGCAATTAAACCCCTGCAACAAAAGAGTTAAGGTTCAATATCTAAAAGGGTTGCCATACAAACAACATCGTCCCCCAAACCACCGCAATCGCGCCAAAAACCAGCACAGAACATATCTCGCCACATTTGGTGATCTTAGGGCGAATATAAGAGTAGAGCCTACATTTGATCACATTTCATTAAGACTATATTTATTTTTTAAATTTAATACTGCCGGTCCCGCGGACAGACGCCAGCCAAACAAAAATTCCAGTGCCGTTCCCCAGTGGCCGATGCTGGCCACACGGAAAGTTCATTGCAGGACTCAAAGTGGTAAATGTAGTTGTTATTTATTTACGACCTTATTCGTGCTTCTTTAAAGAGTTCCAGAACTCTGAAATTTTTTCCATTGCTTGGAGACTTCCTGTTTTGACACATTCACACATCTCACTGCTTCCATGATTTCTTCCCTGCCTTTAAATGGCCAATGATTAGCCATTTCACAGATTGCTCCAAATTTCGGAGCCATAACAAATCTTTTTGAGGTTCGTTATGGCTCCTTTTTGGCTTACGCACTAAAATCAAAAGCCGTATTACAGAAATTTACTCAGATTTTCACTTTGCGCAAAGCCCTTGATTCACCGTCGGATATCGTAACACTTTGATTTGCTTTTCTGAAACCGTCATTCGCTTTGCGCAGAACACTTTATTTACCGTCAGATGATGCGACGCTTTGATTTGATTTCCTGAAACCGTTTGGATAAAAAAATCAAAAGATCACTTTTGATTGGATAATGCTAATTAGGCTTGTCTTTCTTGTATTCTCTGTAAAAATGGATTACATTGATTGGATAGCTCATGTAATAACGCAATTCTTTGGTACATAAAGATAAATGTGTATCTTTACGTACCAAAGAATATTTGTGTACCAAAGAATATTGAGTGTATTTTACAGAAATTTTAAGTGCATGGATATGTTCATAATCGCTGTTTTGTTTATCAAAATAAATTTCCATTACTGAATTTTTAGAGTTTTAAAAGCATTGTATGTAGTGATAATTTATTAGCATCTCACTTACCTGTCTTATCTTCAGAAATATTAAACAATTGAAATTAATGCAATTTGTTCTTATATTTCAGTTTGTCATGCATGGTACTGATATGAAATCTTTATATAAATATATCCCACAAGATGTCCTTCCCTCAGAATTTGGAGGAACAGGCGACCCAGTTAACGACGAAGAATTCCGGAATTTCATTCTCAGTTATGAATCTTACATTCAGAAGCTCAATCAGTTTGGTTTCAAGACTAAGTCAACAGAAGTGCAACACAGTGACTCTCAAATCTTAAACACACAGTGACGTCTATCCTTTTCTGGGATATTTTATGTCACACCTTTCCAGTGCGCATAGAAAATTGACTACCGATATGTTAAAGCTATATTTATTCTGCCACATAAAATCGCAATTTAACAGCAGAATTAACATACTGCATTTCTCTAAATTGCTCTATGCAGGGTAAGTGGAAAAAGAATCATCCTGTTATAAATTATTGTAGTTAACAATGCAACAGTTGTCTACTTATCTGTGATGCATCAATTAAACTATAACTATCCAAGCTTCATAAATATGACACTGGAATACCCTTAATGAGCGCGTGAGCCATAATACACTTGGCTAGTATACAAGTTCTGAGCGAAACTTTTTTTAGTGTATCTGTGTGTATGTGTTCTGCAGTATGCTACAGACAACATCTTCAATTACGGTTCAATTAAATTTTTGCCGACTGAGATCATTCAGCAAAGCAGAGTATGTTACAATGGTTTCGCCAATTTTAAGTGTACAGGAAGTCTACATTAAGAGCGACAGTGTGGATTGGCTACAAATCAGAAAATGATGATGCGTTTCTCAATACCTTTTTTACCGATTTAAGTATTATATTATTTATTATTATATATTATGTTATTTATATCGAGCACGTCCCATCGGATATGCCTTAACGTCGGTGGACCAAAAATGACTATAGAATGAATATGTGGCATGACAAAATGATCTCGTGTAGATCATCTACGAGAGATGATTCTGAGGTTCTATTAATTTAAATATACTTTTTTATTTCATCAGTTTTGCTGAATTATTGCAGTTTTCCATCATACCTCTAATTTAACTGAATACTATTATTCCAAAGGAAAACTAATCTTTAAACCGTCTTCAAAGAACAATTTTGGAACATTTTTGTTGAACCTCAATCCATCTATTTATGGCATGGTTAAAATCTTAAATCGAACACACCGTAAATTTTTATCAAATGGGGCAATAGAATACTCCTCGCAGACGTTGGAAAACTTCTGAAGTTTCCACTTTCTTTTCCCACAAGAAAAACGGATTACTCCTCGCACCTTCCATGGTTACGAGAACAGTGCTACAAAACTCCACTTTCAATCGCCAACAACCGAATCCAGAAAAACAGTGATACATGGGATAAACATGGCAAGACTTGTCTGTGGTCGGTAACCTTGACTACAAGTTATAGAAAATGAACTACAGCTCAATTCTTAGAACTTTGAAAAAACATCTTACATATAATATATGACAAGAAATTTGAACCAAAAAATATACCCTGAGCGTCAGAGTAGCTATGTATGTTCCAATTAAATTGTATATTACTATCATTGGTAAACCTGTTTTTTTCCTTCATAATAGACATAATAGTCATTGATGAAGTAAAACACATTCTTTCAGAAGCCGGAGTGTGTTGGACGTTAAGTCTAAATCGACCATAAGGTATTTCTTCCGCTTTCTTAGCATACCTTCGTGGTGTAATAGTCAGCACGCTTGGTGTGAATTCGAGAGGTCCGAGGTTCGAGTCCTGGCAAGGGCATTGCTCGTTTTTTATGTCTCCTGCTTCGAAATAACCTAATGTCTCTACAGTGGCGCCCGAAGTAAAAAAAATGGTGGATGATGATTCTCCACCACCAGGATTTGATGAGTGGGTTCCTTAATTCCTAGTCGTTTTTAAAAGCATAAGTATATAAGGTATTTTGCCCGCCTTCTTAACATGCCTTCATGGTTTAGTGAACAGCACACTCGGCGCAAATTCGAGAGGTCCGAAGTTTGAGTCCCGGCTAGGATATTGCTCATTTTTCACGTCTTCAGCTTCGAAATAACCTAATGTGTCTACAGTGGCGCCCGAAGTAAAAAAAAAAAAAAAAGATGGTGGATTAGGATTCTCCACCACCAGGATTTGATGAGTGGGTTCCTTAATTCCTAGTCGTTTTTAAAAGGATAAGTATATAAGGTATTTTGCCCGCCTTCTTAACATGCCTTCGTGGTTTGGTGAACAGCACACTCGGCGCAGATTGAGGTCCGACGTTCGAGTCACGGCTAGGACATTGCTCATTTTTCACGTCTTCAGCTTCGAAATAACCTAATATGTCTACACTATCACTATAAACTGACAGTCTAACGTTGCTTCAGTTTCCATGGTAAGGGAAAGGAATTTACATGGATCTGTGAGTTTTCCAATTGGAATGCGAGTACATTCCCTTGGGAAGTTTTCCCAGAAAACATCCCACTTAAGAGGAGCAGCTCTAGAGGGCTTGTTTGTAAGGGTTAGGTTTCTAGATTTCGTTCACACCGAATAATATTTTAGAAAATTTAATATAAAGAAATTATTTCAAAATTATAGTGCCATATTTTACAAAACTCTTTTTCTGTTTTATTCGTGAAAATTTTCCTGAAATTGTATTTTCCTCGAAAGTAAACATATACTGTAAATCAAAAGTAGTGGCTTACAAAAGCAGTTACTGTTCAATGATACAGAATCAAGTTATTGATATGCCTACAAATGCAAAACATGTTTACAAATGCAAAAATTGTATCAAGCATTTAAAATGTATTTATAAACATTCATAATTGATTTAAAAAATGACAAATTTTTTGGCTGAGGTCACCTCTAATGGCACTGCTTAAACGAGTTAAAATGATACATCATGTTGCCATACAAAACACTTTATCGCTAAATAAATTAAAGCTTGGGTAAAAATTAGTGTTTGAAATAATTAATATATATAAGGCGAACTTGTTCTAATTACCGATTCTGTTACTATTATTTTCATTTTACGGCACAGATATGTTTTCATAAAAACAAAGTCTCCTGTTTTCTGAAATCTAGAAATGAAATTTAGTTTTTTAATTACGTTCTAGATAATTTAAAAGGCAATACGAATAAGGCTAAAAATCCTTAATTTAATTAAAGTTGTTCCAAAGCCTAATTTTTTTCCAAAGCTCGGTATATGATTAAAATCAGTACTACTTATGAGGGTGTCCGCCGATAACATCGCGTAAAAAACATCTCGGACGAAAACGTCGCGGAGAAAACAACGCAAGGCGAAAACGTCGTGCTACAAAACATCGTGGGAGAAAACATCGCAAAGAGAAAACATCGCAGTTCTAAAACATCGTGGTACAAAACATCGACGTCAAAAATAAAGCGGTTGAAAAACTTCCCAGTTTAAATACATCGTCGGCGAAAATATCGTGGTAAAAAATAAAGTATCTACAAATCATCGCATGACGATAACATCGCCGACATGCTTTTTTCAGGTTTTAATAACTGTAAATGGATATTCCTATAATGATTTGTGAGCGCAAAATGCAAAGAAGGATAATATTTACTTTCACATTTTTTTATTAACTAACAAATTTTTGCTGAAAAAGTAAGAAGGAAACTTAAGCATAGAAAATTAAATGCGCCTTATGATTATTAATGGCCTTTGTTAGTTAGTTAACCATGTCGGTTTAAAATTCTATCAAGAGCTATAAGTTGCATTAATTTTTTATGCTTAAGTTTCCTTCTTATTTTCTCAACAAAAATTTATTAGTTAATAAAAGATATGAAAGTAAAAATTATTCTTCTTTCCATCTTGCGCTTACAAATCATTATGGGAATATCCATTTACAGTTATTAAAACCTGAAAAAAAGTACTTCTGCGATGTTATCGTCATGCGATGATTTGTAGATACTTTATTTTTTACCGCGATATTTTCGCCGACGATGTTTTTAATCTGAGAAGTTTTTGAACCGCTTTATTTTCGACGTCGATGTTTTGTACAACGATGTTTTAGAACTGCGATGTTTTCTCTTTGCGATGTTTTCTCCCACGATGTTTTGTAGCACGACGTTTTCGCCTTGCGTTGTTTTCTCCTCGACGTTTTCGTCCGCGATGTTTTCGGCTGTAACCCTTATGAGGAAGAATTTTAGTTTTTATATTTTGTTATTATCAGTCCAAAGGGGCAACTTTCACACAAGAGCTATTACTTTTGTTTTGGCATTTTGTGTTGATTCACTGTAAACAACGAATCACTTTTTAAATTGCTAAATTTTTAAAACCAAATAATAAAGCCCTGTATTATATTTAAAGAAATTAAATAATGAAGATTCGTCATAAATGTATGTATGTTTCTCGCATTGTTATAAAACAACGGTTTCTAGAGACATCCAATTTTGAATAACGCACGTCTCCACTCGAATATGGGCATCTGGAAGCCCAAATTCGGAATTTTTTTATTATCTGTTTCATATTTTGTAAAGCATTTATGAGTTTTTTTATTAAAAAACTCAACGATTTCAAAGCAAGCAATGGCAACACTGTACGAAAAAAAAATTATCTCCAGTGCGCCAGACAATATATCGGAAATTCTAAAGATATGCTCTTTTAAATATTTTGCGATATTGCTATTGAATTGAATTTTATGGTTTAAATGCTAAGAACAAGATAGTTAATAAGCAAATATAACACACAAAACGTTAAAAAAAAGACCCTTTCGGCGTAATATAAAAATCTGAAAGCTTTAAGATTATTATTATTATTATACAACGAAATCAACAGTCCACTGGATGTTCATTGAAGTCAATTTTAAACACTGAAATTAACCCATTAACTGCCAATTTTTTTCCTCTCAATTTACATTTATTTCTGAATGGCTCGATTGACATAGAGACTGAATTTGGAATATAAATGGAATATATACGGAATCTGCCATGAAGCCCTAAATGAAGATCTACATTTAAGTAGCCCTCACCGGAAAATAAAATTCACATTGACAATAAATAGTTAGTAAATAGTATATTCAAAAACTATTAGAGAACACGGCAGGACGCAGGAGTACGAAATGATGTACATAATACACTACTCGACATTGAAAATGCAACACCAAGAAGGAGTGGTCAGAAATTTATGCAAATTCTAGAGTAGACGCACGTCACTGAGTTATGCGAATGATGTGAAATGCGCAGCTCTCCGGCGCACGTTAAGTAAGATATAAGGGAAGGAACGTGCAGAATGGGCAATATTCGTGTCGTTATTTCTCCGGGACGAATTATCGAAGAAAGTTGGTTTTTTGTCCCGGAGGATACGTGTAATAGGACAGAATGCCAGGCCCCCGTCAACGAAGGCACTTCCAGCAGATAGGCGATTTTACGAGGGGTATGGTGATCGGACTGAGAAGGGCGGGTTGGTCATTACGTCAAATCGCAGCTGATACCCACATGGATGCGAGCACGGTGCATCGGCTATGGCGAACATGGTTGGAACAAGGAATTGTAGGAAGAAGGAGGGGTGCAGGTGCAACCAGAGTGACGTTAGCACGCGTGGATCGACGCATCCGCCGACAAGCTGTGGCGGTCCCGCAAGTCGCTTGTACCGAGATTCTGCAGCATGTGCAAGATACCCTGAATGTTCTCGTGATGACCAGAACCATTTCCCGTCGAATGGCTGAACGTGGCCTGCACTCACGGCGTCCGTTAAGAACACTGCCATTGACCCCCACAGCATAGACGCCAACGTTTAGAATGGTTCCGGACTGGAGCGATGTGAATGACAGAATGGCGAAACGTCGTGTTCTCAGATGAGTCATGCTTCTGTTTATCCAGTGACAGTCGCCGCATATGTGTGTGGCGTCGACATAGAGACAGATGTAATCCGGCAGTAACTGTGGAACACCCCACCGCGCGACAACGTGTCATAATGGTTTGGGGCGCTATTGCCTACGATTCCACGTCCCTCTAGTTCGTATTCAGGGCACTATGACGGCCCAAAGATGCTTGGATAATGTACTGCGGCCGGTGGCATTCCCCACCCTTCAGGGGCTGCCTAATGCAATTTTTCAACCCGATAACCCCCGACCATACAGTGCTCGTATCTACCAACATGCTCTGCAAGGTATACAGATGCTTCCCTGGCCACCGTACTCACCTGACTTGTCACCAATCAAACATGTGTGGGATGTGATTGGACGCCGTTTACAGGCTCTGCCCATGCCTCGTTGAGAAGGCGAACTGTGGCAAATGGTTGAAAAGGAATGAAGAGCCATCACTCAGGACACCATTCGCACTCTTATTGACTCAATGCCTAGACGTGTTTCTTCGTGCATCGCTGTCCGCGGTGGCCCTACATCCTACAGAGCCGACGCCGTTCTCGTTCTGTATTCTGACTATCATTTTGAAATAAAGATCACTTATTGTTGCTTTCTATCTCTGTCTTTTTTTCCAAATTTCATCACTTTCTGACCACTCCTTCTTGGTGTTGCATTTTCAACGTCGAGCAGTGTAATATGACATACCGCGTTTTGAAAATGTTGAAATCTTGCAACTCACAAAAATTTTACTTCTCACAATTAATATTCTCCAGCTCACTCGTTTAACGACTACTACTCAACAACTCATGCAAAAGCTTGAGAAAGGTTTAATCAACGATGTAAAAATTTAACCATTGTTGCCAACCTATCTGAAGTTCACAAACTTCCGCTACTAAGACAAATCCCCAAACGGGAATCATGGCAGCTAATAGCTTAACACTTCATTTAATTCCACTCATTGAGAATATCGAAAGACGTTACTTCTAGCAAGAAGAAAATATTTTCATATACCACCAACTCGAAAAATAAAGATTAAAAAACAAAACTGCGGTACGTCTAAATAACCATATGTTGCTGTTATTGTTTGCTCATTGCCAAAGACCAACAGGACTAAATATGGTGTATAACACTGGGCACCCCAAAGAGATCCAGAACCAACAACGAATTGTCAGTAAGTTCTTTCTTAGAGAACCTCAGACAAGCAAGAATTATAATCAGGGAAAGCTTGCTCAGAAGAACACTTGATGCAGACTTCAAAACGTTTGGAACCCTTAAAATGTGAAAGATCTAAGACGCCCACTGAGGAAGCGGCTGAGGGTGATTGGATCTTGCCTATCGCAATCAAGTGCCAGAGAGCCATGTGGCCGATTACTCCGATATCAGAGATGCGCCGTTGGAACAAGCCAAGTGGTTTTATTCTTGCACTTAAATCATGGAACAAAGTTCCATGCAGGTGACAAGCATAGAAGGCACCAAAACTCCAGCACCGGCCTTAGCCAGGGTGTCTTCAATATCACTGCCATTGATGCTTCTTAGCATGCCTTCGTGGTGTAGTGGTGACAAGGCTCGACACGATTTCGAGAGATCCGGTGAGGGCACTGCTCATTTTTCATCTCTTCTGCTTTAAAATAACCTTATGTCTCTAAGTATTTATAAAAAATTTGAAAATATTTTGACGAATTTAGTATATAAATAGCTAATGTCCGCATACAATGCAGGGCGTGAGAAATTTTCAGAGAAAGCTACGCCGAAATATAGAAAAAAATATAAAAGCACGTGCATGTAACATTGAAATAAATGGACATAGCTTTCATTTGTACTGAAATTTAATATATGTAATTGACTACTGTGTTAGCTGTAACCGTAATTCCATCCTCTAGTTGGTTTCCAGAAATCTCGATAAGCAAAAAAATTACTAGAACTCTCTCGCGACCGATTGAAAGCTTTAAAACGCCGGAGAGAGACATTTCAGCCCAGTTGTTTGTTAGCTGCTGTTGTTATTGTTTATCGGATTAGCTTCTCTTTGCTGTGCTTTGCATTATGTTTAACGTTTTAGTTGTTTAAAGTATAACTACTGATTATTACTCTGATTACTGTGAATTACTTGCACAAATTCCAACTTTCTGTTATATTTCTTTTGATAAGAATGAATTTTAACCTTTTAACGGACTTTTATCAGATCTGTTACGAACGAACCCATACGCAAGCAACAACGTACTAACGAAATTAAAAGTCTGTTTGGATGCCACATGATTTTCTTATACTGCCCATTAAATTATACACATTTTTTGCTCGCTTAATTTAAACAATTTTCCTCGATTTATTCTAAATTAATTAACCGATTCCACAAGGCAATTTGAAAATGAAGACACATATTGCAAATTTTGAAAGTAAAATTTTATCTTACGGGAATCAAACTTTTTAATAAATTTTAATTTAAATTTTACTTCGTATAAGAACCGAGAGACCGCATTCAAAGTTAGATTTCGTTATTTGTCCAAAATTTCAATTTTAAAAAGATTCGACGTTTCCAAAACATGAGTACTTTCTCATTTAAAACACTTCTGTAATTAGAAGCATATACTGCTACCAACGGTAAAGAAAATAGACGCAGGGTGAGGATTTTATATATATGTATTTGTATATATATAAAAACGTATGTATATATATGTGCGTGTTTATATATATATATATATATATATATATAAACGTATATATATATATATATATGTAAGATAAAAATGTATGAATCAAAATTATAATATAACCATAAACATTAATTCTTCCTCTCTATTCTAAAATCGTAATAACTTATCTGCATTGCGTCATTCAAATTAATCATGCGATCTTACATAACCGTTAATACCAGATGCCTCTTGACGACCAATCACCGAATTGTAAACCAAAACTTTTCTCTTCACGTGCTTCCATCTTTCATAACTACGCACTTCAGCTTTTGCTCTCAACTTTGCTAAGATGTAATTTCGCTGGCTTGCTTTCTATCTCAGCAATATTAAAAATGTAAATCTTCTGTGGAAAGGCACGACTAGAGTGCCAAGTGATTGTGGCCACATATATCAATTGGAAATAAAAATGGAATTAAAACTGCTTCGACTGCCAAGTTCTTTAAATACTACGCAATCAAAATTCTTCTTCAATATGGGTCTAATCACGCATCGACAGTGTTCTGTCTTTTCCTGTGCTTTTATTATGACATATATGTTATTTACATATATATATCTAATGAGAGTGCTTGAAGTTCTTAATTACTTCTAGTGTGTTTCAATTAGGTTTTATTCAACTATGCTTTTTATTTTCACTCACGTTTTAGTCTTTGGCTTATCTGCTTAAAGGTAAACATTTGGATTTAAATTTTTCACTGAAATATTTTGTTTTTTCACTTTCGTTTTCAATTCCTTTAATAAGATAAAATTCTCTTTATTAGAGGTTAGTCTAATTAATTCGAATTAGAATTTACTTTGTTTTCTCCTTGCTTTGTGGAAGGGCCAGAATTTTCGGGTGAACTATTATAATTAAAATATTATTATAACTAAAGAGATCAATTTATTTAAATGTTACTCCCCCCTTACGAAGTATCACTAATGTTGATTGAATTCCTCTTCTGGTTTTGTTCATTTTTCTTTAAGTTTCATTAATTTTTTTAATGGGGTTTTGCTTTAAATGTAAAAAGTTTTGGTTTTAACGTTTTAAAATTCTTTGTGGTATTTGTAAGATTATTTGAAATTTATTAGTTATGAATTTCAATTTTTAGCCTTTGTGGAAAATTAGTTCTAAATTTCTTAAATTATGTCTAATGATAGATTTTCTGCAGCTTAATGCGCGAAAATACTAGGTATGTTTAAATTTTGTTATCAAAAGAAATGTTTTGTAATTATATATATTTCCGATTGCAATAAAAACGGAGGTGCTCAGTTAGATGTTATAGCAGTGCAATGCATAAAATTTCAACTTTATGCAGCTAATCTTTTTTGAGCTACCAAGATACATACACACATACATACATATACACCCAGAGTTGTCACGAAGAATTCCTTTTAAATCCTTTTTACAATCCGTTTTGAAAAAAGGTATCGTTTATTCTGTCCGTACATACAAGTGCCACGCAAAACAATCTTCCAAATGGATTCGGGAAAGGTCAAAATAGATATTTCTATTCAAGTATGATACCCAAAGTTTTCGAGATAACAATACGTGCTTTACTTTGTACAAGGAAGTAAAAGGGAAAACTCTAATACTATGGCTGATGTTCGACCACGTAAACCTTAAAGGAGAACTTTATAACAAATAGTGGCCATAACGGGAATATGTTTACTAGACTTTTAAATGTTGGAAAAATTTTTTGCTGATCTTCGTAGCGAACTAGTTTCTGCATTGAACGGTCATTAAAACAAGCGTCGACAGTATAACAGTTATGGATTATATGTAACAGTTATGGAGAATATAAGGAATTTTGTCCTTCCTTTCCGCCTGCCTTCGTGGTGTAACTGGAAGCACCTTCGACGCGTATTCCGAAGGTCGAAGCTCGAAACCCTCGGGGATGGCGCTGCGTATTTCGTCAGTTTCCTGACCTTCGAAAATTTCTTTTAAGTCTCTACAAGTGGCGCTCGAACTGAAAAAGAAAGGCGTTAACGATAATTTGTCACCACAAAGATTTGGAGTATAGTCTCCAAATCACAAGTTGTCTTTAAAAAAGAGGGTGTATGTAATGTATTTTCTCCCTTCTTTCCGCATGCCCTTGTGGTGTAATTGGCAGCATAGTCGATGCATATTCCAGAAGCACAGGGCGAGGGCTCTGCACGTTTTTCACTTGTACTGCTGAACGTAAAAAAGCTCCGTTGCTTATCGCTTATCGCTTCAAAATAACCTAATGACTCTACAAGAGACCACTCTTTTAGTTCTCGAGCCACTTGTAAAGTCGGTAGCTTATTTTGAAGCAGGAAACATAAAAAATGCGCAGTAAAGTCACGGAGACTCGATCCCTTTTCCTTTCCAATACATGTCGAGTATGCTTCCAATCACACCACGAAGGCAAGTGGAAAGGAGGGATAAAAATAGCTTATAACTAAACAATTGTTCTATGCTTAACAATTCAGCTTATTTTGCTTTATTCTTCAGCACTATTTTTAATATATCAGGTATTTTTAAAAATGCTTGAAAGTTACCTTAAAAACGTATACTGCCCAGAAAAACTAAAGAAATAACTCTAAAACTCACAAATCTCCAATGAATTTTGCAGGTAAAAAAACAGAACTTTCGCTTGATGTCTACATTGACATTCTTGATGTACCTCAAAACTCAGAATCGCCTATATCTGAAAAAAAAATTATTTGAATAAGAACATAAGAAATATGATGTAAAGTCCGTTATGGAAACGCTGGTTTTATAACTTCTTAGGAATACAAAGAAAGCATTAATAAAGTTTGTGGGCACTCTTGCCCGAAATCAAGCTTTACAAGGAGTTTTCATGCTCTCCATTAGGCAATCCAGAAGTTTCTGCGGCAAAGTGGATATTGACGTTAAACAGCTTCTTGAAACTTCTAGAAAATGCCGTATGGGAACTGCAGTGTTGCAAGTCGTAGTCATAGTGCGTCGTATCGGAATATGTAATGACTCTATATTAGATAGTCCAGAAGATCCTGCAGCGAAGTGAATATTCATGATGAACAGCTCCTTGATGACTCCTGAAAAGTGCCAAGTTGGAATTGTAGAGAATCAAGTCGTGGCCGTAGTGTGTCCTATCGGAATATGTCTTGCTTTTCTATTAGATGGTCCAGAAGTTTCTGTGACAAAGTTAATATTCATGATGAACAGCTCCTTGAAACTCCTGGAAAGTACCAGTTTGGAACTGCAGTGATGGAAGTCGTGGTGGTAGTGCACCCTAAAGGAATATATAATGCCTCTATATTTGATAGTCCAGAAGTTCCTGCCGCAAAGTGAATATTCATGATGAACAGCTCCTTGAAATTCCTGGAAAGTGTCAGTTTAGAACCGTGGTGATGCAAGTCGTGATCGTAGTCTGTCCCAGCGGAGTATGTAATGTTTCTCTATTATATAGTATTATGAAGTAAAAGTTGCCCTTTATTTTGCCTGTACGTACAGATGTCACACAAAAACTTAATTAAATTGGATTCGAGATCGGTCAAAATAGATATTTTCGTTGAAATATGATACCCGAAATTTTTCGTGATTACAGTAATTCCTTTACTTCGCATAACGAAGTAAAAAAACGTTGATAACATTTAACGCATTGAATGAAGTATAAATAAATTCAATAATGGAGTCTGCGTTGATAGGCGCGACTAGATGTTGCAATGCCTGTATGACATTAAAGAATTGTAAATCCAGGATGTTAAAGTCACCAGTTATGAGATATTGACAATATTCTATATATCTTCATCTCTGTCATAGCAGAACTCAGATTGTTGCCATATATTTGCAACTACTGTAAGTTGCCAAAAGAACCGAAAATCAGTGTTAACAATTAAACATATTTATTAAGGCGTAATCTGATAAACTACAATCGATTTTTTAGCAAACACTTCTGTTGCATTAGTATTAAAACTCACTTTTTATAAGTACCACTTTGTGTCCGAATCACTTTTCAAAATGTTGCCTGCAAATGTTATCACTGAGCATCATTTAAACAAAAATAAAATAACGAAGGATTTATATTTATGGATTTATGCTTGCTCCTCGCATTTGGTAAAAACGACGGAACCTACAGACACCGCATTAATATTTTTAATATATTTCATGCTCCACCTGAAGACGGACCCACAGAAATCAGAATTTTGAATTTCGAATTTGGTTTACTTATTTTAATCAACTTCAGTGATTTGAAAACTAGAACTGACAAACTGTTCGAAATAAGGCATTTTTATCTGTAGCGCGCAAAACTGTTGCTATTTGGCAAAATGTAAGATATTTTTCTTTCAATTTTAATCCACAAATTCGGCTTTTTGAATGCCTCAAATGGCGGTTGGCACTGCCTCAAATAGAGTACAGTCAAAAGTCGCAGATGTTTTTATTTTATTTGGCTTATTCCTTACTAAATGTAGTATTTCATCTCGATGTACTCCGTCTTTGATATGATATAAATCAAGTTCCTCGTCATTATAATTCGCTTCCGATAGTGAAGAAAGTGACACAGAAGTTATTGAAAACGAAAAAATTTCGATTGACAGATTAGTCGGTATTCTCGACACAGCAATTATAGGACTTGAACAGCGGAACATTGTAACTGAAGAAGAAATTATGTCTGATTTTAGAATTAAAGAGAAAGCATTATCACATAAAACGAAGCAACTTTAACAACATACATTGAAAGAAATGTTTAATAAAGTAAACAAATAAATATTAAGCTTTTTCTTGTAAATTTTGATACCCTTTAGATCATAATTGTTCTTTATTTCATAAATTACGGTTTCATATTTTTAATTTTGTAATTTCTGCATGCCATCTTACCAGATTTAAATTGATGATCTATAATTCGGAAAAACCTATAATCCGGAATCGCCGAAGTCCCGACGAGTCCGGATTAACGACTTTTGACTGTATTTATTATCGCTGCGAACCAGCGTGTTGCCTTTTATTAAAGCATAAGATTTACAATTTATCTTCCGAATTTAATCTTTCTGTCAACAATTATCAAACCAGGTGATTGAAACACAATACGCTCAGTTCTTAAAAACAATTTTTGTGTTTTTTAATTTGTTTGATTTAAATGAAAATGCCTTTATATCATGAGATGTCTATTCCAACCTCCAAATGGCGGGCCCGAGTCGTCCGTAGACTTTGGCTATTACTAAGGCCAAAAGCAGTGGTCCCTTAGTACTTAGTTACTATAGTAAGTGGGCAACGTTTCCCCCTATAAGGGATAGACAAATTACATCCATGCCTTGTCTGAGATCCAAATCTTAGTACTTCGATAGGGCAGTCAGAGTTACTAACCATTTTTCCGTCTGGGAGGCGAGATGCGTAATTTGAAATATGCAATATTTTTTGGAAATAGACTCAAGCTGGACTCATTAAAATCTTTATGTGTTTTCTCTTTTTTATGGTAGTCATTAAGTTTTTTATGCTGCTAGCTGCCTTAGTGGTTAGTTATCAAAAATATTATGCATAACGAATACAAAAAAGTAAAGACTTACCATTCTATAAGGAATTCTAAAGACATGCTGCTTTAAAATATTCTGTGACTTTGCTCTTGAATTTTGTGAAGCGGAAGTGAGAAGAAAGTGATGCTTGATAGTAAAGCTAAAAAGACAAAAAAAAAAAAAATATGTTAGCAGAAGTGAGTCCTAAATCAAAGCGGGAACCTGCGATGCTCAGCGAAAGCATAAGAAAACGATATCAATTCTTCTGGTGCGAAGTTGAAATCTGATTACTTTCAAATTTTCCTTCTTTTAGCATTTCATTTAGGCCACTTTCATCATGCATATTAGAAATTACATCCAAATCACTTTTTTTTAAATTTTAAAGTGTCTTCACATGCCTGAGCCCCTGTGGAGTGACTTTTAAGAAAGACAATATTATATTTGAGCTAAAATGGCATTTGCGTTTTTCAGATGATATTCGTTTTCAGAAATCATCCTCAAGATTTTTTAATATCCTGTTAGACGCTGATGTTATCAAAAGCTTAAATAACTAAATTATACACAAAAATATTATCCAAAACTCCGTTTATGTAATTTTATCTCAATGTCGAGTCTGCTTATCAGTCAATTGCGTATGCTGTAGAAAAAAAGTGGATTAGTTCTGGCGCATCACCACTTGTATTTTGGCAGTAAAATAATATGAAAATGGAATCCTTGACCGAAGTTCATTTTTGTTATGTATTCACAGATAGTGAAAAAACAGACACAAGGAAGTGTTTTTAAAAAATAGTGGAATTTCAGTATATCTGGAAAGCATATGAGATACGACTTTCAAAGAATTTTTGCTGCTTTTTTCACGGTAAAAAAAGATGCCGATAAACATTGTTTGTTATGTCACTGTCAGTAAGACGCCCATGATGTAATCTATGAGATAGGTAATTGGACAATGGTATCACGAGACAAATTAATCATGTCTCAAATATTAGTTCATACTCTTCAAATAATAATAAAAAAAAATCTGAACGAGTTCAGATTTTGAAGATCCCCCAAAAAGATGTATTACGATTTTTTACGTTCTCCTTCAATTCAACAGCAAAATCACAAATATTTAACAACATCACATCTTTAGTATTTCCGAGAAACAGTCTCGCACGTTGTTGATTAGTCCAAGAAAAAGAAAATAATAAACAAACCTATTAAGCAAAAGTAGCCGACGAATTCTCCTGAACGCTTTCGTTTTTGTTAATAGAGTCAGAATAAGAATAAGACAGTCAAAATAAGATAAGATTTTTGGCTGCCCTGTTCCGTGAACTCAGCACACTATATGGAAACTCTTGACAAGTTGAAATCCATTGTATAAAGTATACCTCCACTATTACCCCTCCAGAGGAGCAGCGCACCACCTGTATACGACACCAGGCAGCACTGGTTGTCAATTGCTGATGCCAGTCGTCAATTGCTGATGCCAGGCAAGATGAAAAATAGCAAACGCCTTCGCCGGGAATCCAACCACGGACCTCTGGAATACCGGCCCAGCGTGCAGACCTACTACACCAAGAAGGACGCTAGGAAAGTGGGAGAAATACTTTATATACTCCCCTTCTTAAAGGGCGACTGGGGTTTTAGGGGACCTAGTCGCCAAATCCTGGGTGCTGAGAATCATCATCCACAACCCTTTTAGTTCAGGCGCCACTGTAGAAACATTGGGTATATTTTAGAAGCAGTCAAGATGAAAAATAGCAATTACTTAGGTTTATTTATTTAGGTTTATTTCTTTCAAATTGTCCTAGAATAATTCTCGAACACTTGGATTGCAGGTACTGTAACTTTGCAGTTTAGTGGTTTATTTATCACTTTAAAATTTGTTGCGCGTATAAAATGGAAACTCTTGACAAGTTGAAATCCATTGTATAAAGTATACAAATCCAAACCTATATAGGTTTGTATTTGCTCCCGACATTATTTAAAGAGCCGACTCGCAGAACGAAAGAAGAGTTAATTCCACAACACGGAGTCTGGGCTCTTTTACAGTTAAGAAACAGCTCTTGTTGAAAACGTGATAGGGAGAGCGATGCGCTTTTTTTTTTTTTTTTTTTTTTCGTTCACGTAGTGCTTCACTTTACTCAGCAAAGGATGGCTGATTCACCAAAAAAGAGCAGAGCTTTTGTTCGAAACATGCAGAAAACTACGCATTTTAGTGAGCGAACGGATGTCTTGTTCTGCGATATTTTGTATCAAGATTATTGTCAGTGAGTGGTGAGTTATAAAAAAGAAACTACGCATTTTAGTGAGCGAACGTATATCTTGTTGTACGATATCTTGCATCAGGGTTATGGTTAGTGAGTGGTGAGTCATAAAAAAAAACGACGCATTTTAGTGAGCGAACAGATTTCTTGTTCTGCGATATTTTACATCAAGGTTATTAGACTAGAAGAGAAACACGCTAATGTGACAATCAAAATCGTAAAAACAACCTTGTATTTAGCGTAGGTATAATGAAACACTCAATCGATTTCGAGGGCAGCTAAAGGTCCCTCCTCTTCAGGAGAAAGAAATATTTAGAAAGAAGAAATTAAAGGAGTCACAGAAACACGTGGTCCTTATCAGCACTGCACGTGATTATAACTAGATTTTTATTCAGAGTTGCACTGGCCGCCTACTTTTACTGAGCCAGGCTATCTGATCAAGCATAAAGGACAAGAAAAAATTAGCGAAGTTAAAATAGGGAGCGAGGGGCAAATGCACCTTACGCTCAAAATCTGAACTTCAAATAATGGAAAGCAACCACTGAACGGATTTTATACCCTCTGGTAGTACCAAAACGCGAGGAGGTAACGCCATCTTTCGGCAAAAATACTGAATTAAGATAGTAGAATTTTAAAGGCATTAGGAAGGACTGGATTGGACTTCAAATCATTAACTAAACCTGCTAAATCTTTGTGAATGTGAAAAGCCTCAAGAAAATTCAACTCACCTATGGAAGAAGCCTTTTAGATAATTTTTGCTGACCCAAAATCAAAATTATGGTTAAAAGTCCAACTATGATACGCTATTGAAGACTTGTTAATTTCGCCTTTTCTGACATAAGATTCATGTTCCTTGATACGAAACTTCAACGCTCTTTTTGTTTGGCCAATATATCTTAAACCACACTGACACGATATACTATAAATTCCCCAAGAATTCAAGACAGAAACGCAATCTTTTAGAATCGAAGGGTGAATTTTATTAATAGGGGAGAAACCGACTTGAAAATTGAATTTCTGGAGAATCCGTGCAATTTTATAGCTAACAGAAGGATAAAATGGAAGCACGAAAAGGTCATTAATATTATTTCTAACAGTGGAATGTCTTCTTTAATGGGAATCTGAAATTTTTTTAACGGCTTTATCAATAATCATGGGAGAAAAATCCACGGTCAATCGCAACTGCTCTCAAATAATTAAGTTCATTGGTAAGCAAAGATTCAGAGGAACAAACTTTAAGCGCGCGGAATACATAATAGTAAAAAGAAGCCATTTTTTGCTTAACAGTGTGGCATGACTTGGCATGGGGTGGTAAACAAGCTGCAAAGGTTTTACGGTACACAGTGGTGCTAAAATCAGTTTCATTGCGGATTATAAGAATATCGAGGAAGGGGAGGGAATTGTTGGCTTCAATTTCAAGAGTGAATTGGATGGCTGGATCAATTGAATTCATAATAGATAGAATCTCGGATAAATCCTCTTTATAACCGTCAAAAAGTGCGAAAGTGTCGTCGGTATGTTGACGTCGGTATGTTGATTCGGTATGTTGACGACACTTATTGACTTGACGCAAAAATTATCCAAAAGGCTTCTTCCATAGGTGAGTTGGATTTTCACATTCACAAAGATTTAGCAAGTTTAGTTAATGATTTGAAGTCCAATCCAGTCCTTCCTAATGCCTTTAAAATTCTACTATCTTAATTCAGTTATTTTTGCCGATAGATGGCGTTACCTCCTCGCGTTTGGTACTATCAGAGGGTATAAATCCGTTCAGTGGTTGCTTTCCATTATTTGAAGTTCAGATTTTGAGCGTAAGGTGCATTTGCCCCTCGCTCCCTATTTTAACTTAATTTTTTCTTGTCCTTTATGCTTGATCAGATAGCCTGGCTCAGTAAAAGTAGGCGGCCAGTACAACTCTGATTAAAAATCTAGTTATAACCACGTGCAATGCTGATAAGGACCACGTGTTTCTGTGACTCCTTTATTTCTTCTTTCTAAGTATTTCTTTCTCCTGATGAGGAGCGACCTTTACTTGCCCTCGAAATCGATTGAGTGTTTCATTATACCTACGCTAAATACAAGGTTGTTTTTACGATTTTGATCAAGGTTATTGTTAGTGAGTGGCGAGTCATAAAAAACAAACTAAGAAACTACGCATTTTAGTGAGAGAACGGATTTCTTGTTGTGCAATATTTTGCATCAGGGTTATTTTTAGAAGTGGTGAGTCATAAAAAAGAAACGACGCATTTTAGTGAGCCAACACATCTCCTGTTCTGCGATATTTTGCATCAAGGTTATTGTTAGTGAGCGGTGAGTCATAGAAAGGAACGACTCGTTTTAGTGAGCGAACGGATCTCTTGGTCAGCGATATTTTACATCAAGGTTATTGTTTAGGAGCGATGAGTCATAAAAAAAGAGCTGACTCAATTTAGTGAGCGAACGGATCTGATTCGATCCCATAAAGGAGAAGTATTTAAAACCTATATGTGGTATGGTCATCTCATTTGGTGGCGATATCTAGAATTGAAAAGTAGAAAAAAAAATCATTTACTGAATTGTATTTAATTCTTTTTAAGCAGGTTATGATTTTGCATATAACTTATAAGGCATTTTTTCGCTCCTTTCTGCATGCCTTCATGACATAAAGATAGCACACTCGGCGCCTATTTCAGAGATCCAGGCATTGCTCATCTTTCACATCTCCAGCATAAAAAAATCCTAAAGACTCTACAGAGGAGCCCGAATTAACAATAAGGTGGTGGATGATCGATTCTTCACCACCAGGATTTGAAAATTGCATTCCCGAATCCTTATATGTAAGGCATTTTCTCGCTTCTTTCTACGTGCCTTTGTAATATAATGTTAGGACATTTGGCGCGTGTTCGAGTGTCCAGACTCGGAGAGGCCATTGCTCATTTTTCCTGTTTCCGGCTTCAAAATTCCTAATGGCTCTACAAACTAAATGTAGCTTTTAACAAAATACTTTTGATTACCGTAATTGACGGCATATAAGACGCACTGGCATATAAGACGCACCCTTATTTAGACGGCCACACACTAGGAAAAAAAGTTTCAATAGTCCGCGCGATAGCGCTGTACCACAATAACTTAAAATGTGGTTTCTTTTAGTTCTCACGTTTCGTAAAAGCCAAATAAACAATCATTGAATGCAATTACCAAACATATTTTTATTAAGGAAAATAAACAAACGGCAAGCTATTTTTTTCGGTAGGTGGTGGACCGAAATCCCTTGCTGCTGCTCTGTTTCCATCCATGCACTTTGGCGTAGTTTAACACTCTTAGTTTATACTGAATTGTACAGCTTAATCTTTGTTTCCTGTAGTAATATTTTACAGGGTATTTTTTAAAACAAACAGTTTTAAGCACCGATACCGACACATTTATACAGAGTAGCACCGATACCGACACGTGTGTCGGCTGAGTCAAAGAAAGTCTATGTAAGAAGAAAAGGCTCCATAGACGTAATGTGACCGTCGAACCTGTTCGAACTTCGACATCAGCTTCGAGCTTTGGCGCTTTTCGGCGACAGATATTTCACGCATGCGCAAAATAATTATGGCAGATATAGAAAAACGTTATGCGTGTCTAGACCTTTATCCGGGCTAAAAATAGCATTCAGTATTTAAAGTTAACCTGTGTCCTTCACGTATAAGACAACGGTAACTTTTTTGAGACCAAATTTAGAAAAACGTGCGTCTTATATGCCGTCAAATACTTTAATTTTTCCTTCTACATTTAAATTTAAACAAAATATTCAATAAAAACTGATGATATTTTTCAATTTTAAGCTTTTATAGGCATATACATGAAATGAAAAAAATTTTCATTTCAATCTGAATTCAAGATTTAAAAAAAAAATATATACCATTTCCTTTAACTGAGTGTAATTGAACCCACTTTTATTTTGAGATTTCTTCTTGTTTTGTTTTTGCACTTATTTAAATTCTTATCAAATAAATCTTAATCTCTATAAACGATATTTTTATTATTCTGCCAGAAACTTAAAGATATCCAAAACCTACTTCTGAAATATTCGACGAAAAATGCTCCAAATTCGGATATGAATGATAGCCTAATGTGCTTAAAAATAAAATTGTGCAACTCTTATCAATCCGGTTTTTAAAATGCAAAGTCAATTTCAAGGCCACTGAAAATAGAATACGATTGTAAGAGTAGCCATCCTTTTAGAGCCATATCGTTCGTTTTCTGTCGATGCATGGATTGTTTAACGTCAAACACAGAGCTTTCTTTTCCAGCTCTAATGAAGCGAGCTGAGTTGGAGTTAGGTGAGACCCCGGCAAGAAGAGCAAAAGCTCTCACGGAGCTAAAGGATCTCATTAAGGCTTAGTGCGCTCTTAATTTATTTTTCACTTATTTATTTATTTACTATATCTCGCGAATAATAAGATTTCTCAGAATTATTAAAGGAATTTTTATCGGAAAAATGTATTTTAAAAACGAGTGCTTGGATTTAAGACGTCCTCACACTTTCAACTCTAATAGGTTGAAGTTAGTTTGCAGAAAAAGTAATAAACTGTTAAAATATCGGCTTAAATTTGAATAAGCGTGCTTTCTTGTGACTTAGATGTTAAGTGATAAGATTTAAGTTATTTCATTTTTCATAGATTTTTTAATAAAAGGCTACGCTTTAAGAGGGGTGATAACTTTAAAAACATATTTTAAGATATAAAATTCACAGTTAGTTTATGAGTTAGGTTTATAGAATTGGCATTCGAAGGTATGCAAATTCAGTGTTGCATCTGCTGAAGAATTAAAAATTCATTGAAACCTGAAATGAAAAATTGAAAATTGAGTTTTCATTGAAAATTAATGCAATTTTGCTCCATTTTTTAAATGCATAAAGAATAAAACCGTCATAAATTTTAATTAAAATAAGTTGAATTTTGATTAATTTTAAATTTAATATTTAAATGTTTTTAGAAAGATATTTTAAGATGAAAAATTCAGAGTTAATTTTATGAGTTGGCTTCATATAATTGTCATTCGAAAGTACGCAAATTCAGTGTTGCATCTGCTGAAGAATTAAAAATTCATTGAAACATGAAGTGAAGAATTGAAAATTGAATTTTCATTGAAAATTAATGTAATTTTGCTCCATTTTCCTAAATGCATAAAGGCTAAAACCATCATAAATTTACAGTTGAATTTTGATTACTTTTACATTTAACATTTAAATGTTTTTAGAAAGATATTTGAAGGAGTGTGGTGTATTTAATTATGGCAAAGCACACTAGGGCTATCTGCCTAAGGGGAGGGATGCCTTCGTGGAGGACTTTCTAAGGGAAACTGGTTCGTAATACACGTTACACATGGGGAAAACCACGAAAAAACCCATGCAGCCAGCCCGTACGCGGGATTCGAACCTCGGACCGAACTACCAGTGTTCAACGACTTTACCGCTCGGCCGCTGGTGGGCCGATATTTGAAGGTGAAAAATTCAGAGTTAATTGTATGAGTTGGCTTTATAGAATTGTCATTCGAAGGTATGCAAATTCAGTGTTACATCTGCCGAAGAATTAAAAATTCATTGAAACCTGAAATGAAAAATTGAAAATTAATTCAAGTTTGATCCATGTTTTAAATACATAAAGAATAAAACCATCACATGTTTAAAGTTGAATTTTAGTGACTTTTAAATGTTTTTAGAAAGATATTTAAAGGTGCGAAATTCAGAGATAGATTTGTGAGTTGCCTTTATTGAAATTGGCATTTGAAGGAAAATGAACGCAATAAGGCATAGGAAAAACCACGAAAACGCCCATGCAGCTAGCTCATTCGCTGGAACTAAAACCTACAGAGAACTACCAGTGTTCAGCGACTTTAACCCTCGGCCGCTGGTGGGCCGTACTTAAAAATGAATTGAATTTTACTCCATTTTCCAAAATGCAATAAAGATAAAAAGCATCATAAATTTAAAGTTGAATTTTGATGACTTTTAAATTTAACATTCATGTACTTCTTTACATAGAGCATTTTTAGTAAAATCATATTGTCTAAACATTCGAGTCAATGCAAATTTGCTTATTTATTTGATTATCAGGGATTTGACTTTAAAGTAATTTTCCATTAGTAAATTTAATTTACTCTAAAAATAATGCTTCTGCGCAGCGTATCAGATCTAGATAAACTGATAATAAAACGTCAGAACATTATTATGGTTTTAAGTCTTGATAATGGCTTATCATTAAATCATTTAACAAAAATTATAAACAACTTCAAATATCTAGAACTAATGTTTTCAATTTCATAATGCTGATTTCAATATGGTTTCAGGACATGTTAGTGGCGGAGTGGATGAGATTGATGAACAACGGTAGTTCAACCCAAGTTCAGATTTTTGCAGATCAGCTGGGTGCTTGGGGTTTCGTTCTTATTTTATATGTGTAACATAATTACAAGCTAAATTACCTTAGATATTCTTTTCTGAAAACTTCTGTCCTCTTAGACTTAAAGCTGTTCCAACTTTTTATTAATGAATGAACTAAGCAGTTAATTGATATTAATTAACTTATTAATAAGCAGTTAGTTGATGTTAATTAACTACTTAGTTAATTTATTCATATTAATTAACTGCTTCACTTAATTAAATGTGAAGCGATTCTTATTTACAATTTAAGCAGTATTCAATTTGTCACTTAAGACAGTTCAAGCTCAGATTGCATGTTGGTCGAATGTGCAAAGTAAAAACAGCTGACTGGTCGAAATATTATTTTTTCGGGGGGAAGGGGGGGAATAAAATGAAAAGTTTTTTACTTCCTTGTACGAAGTAAAAAGGAAGTATTGTAATCGCGAAAAGTTTCAGGCAGCATATTTCAACGAAAATATCCATTTTGACAGCTATCGAATGCAATTTCGAATTTAACGATGTTTTTGCGTGATATCTGTACGTAAGGACAAAATAAAAGACTCGTTTCCTCCAAAAAAATTATAAAACTGCTTTAAAATTAATTCTGAAGAGAATTTTTCGTGGCGTCTATGCGAACGTACGTACGTATCTCGCATAACTCAAAAACGAGTAGCCTCAGAACGGTGAAATTTTGTATATAGGACTGCTATAACATGTATATGTGCACCTCGTATTTTGGTTTCGATCGGCCGCACCAAATGTATATAAATATATTTATATATATATCCACTCTGTTACCGGACTCAGTGATCTCAGTTTCTTTACTCTTATATGTTTGTAAATTGTACATTTTTTTTTTAAATGATTGAATTATGTTGTTTTTATCTTCCGGTTAAGGTTTTTATGCCTTTAGTAAATCTGTGTGCAATATTTTTAGAATTATCAACAATTTTAAATTTGTTTAAGTGCCGCTAAAACGTTTTTTTTTTTTTTTTTTTTTTTTTTTTTTACGGCCATTGATTGTTTACATTTGAAACAGCAGACTAGTGGACTTGTTGCTAATCTAGAAGCTTCGCAGCAACAAAGATAACGCCTTCATTTATTATTGCCAATTAAATCACGCTTAATCCTTTCTGGAATTTTTTTGAGGAAATGAGTGTTTAAGATTTACTTCGTAATTTTGAATATAGATATTTTGAGTTTTTATGTATTTTTGCCTCCTCGCGAAGTGAGAACTGAATTAATTGAATGAGAAATACTCAATCGTCTGTGAAAAACTGTTTCTTTTTTGTTTTGTTTGCTTAATTTCTTTTATACATCGTTTTAGCTTTATTATAGTATTTGAATAGGACATGTGGCAACGATTAGATAATTCTATCCTTTAAATGGTATAAATTTTGTGCATTATGAGTTATAATATGAACGAAATATAATACTGTTAAGTGAATCTAGCGCCAGAGTGTCGCTATGGTAAACAAATACTAGAGTGAATTTTAAAGAATGCATTTATTCTAATGTGGTTTATGCGCTGTCGGTGAAGTAGATTTAATTCAATCCAATAAGTTTAAATGAAATGCAAGAAAAAATGCGTATAATTTAATATTCCGTACAAGGAAGTCATGTGGTGTACACATCAGATTTTTTAACAAAATCAAAGCATATGCATATGATTCTGCGATACCGAAGGGCCTGGGTTCAAATAATATTTTAATAACTATAACTAAAATGAAACAAAAAAACTGCGAATTATACTTATTTTCTCCTGAAATATAAAGGCTGATATCTGTAAGAAATTTCTGCTGGTTACACTTGTGAATTCAAACGTATAGACTTTTAAATATTCAAACTGAGATCTACTACTATGATCAAACAATTCTAATACGTTAAATAACTTATTTAAACTAAAAATAAACAAATTAATGAAGTTTGGAATTTGTCAATTTTCGAACACCAATTCAATGTAAAAAAATTGATGCCTTTTAACCAAATAAATTCAGTTATTTATAAATCTTCGCGTGATTCTCAGAAAACCGATAAAAATTAGATATAAAATTTTTTGAAAGTTTATGCAATTATATACTCTATTTGATGTCTTTAGATATCTATTTTTCCCTATAAATAACATAAAAGATTTGCCGCTCAGACGGTATAGTGGTTAGGGGAGCCTGACTGCGATACCGAAGGCCTGGGTTCGAATCCCGGAGAAGGCATGGTTGTAACTGTCCGTCCCTTCATAGGATGCAAAGGTGGCCCACCTATTAGGCGCCTCCGTAATAAAGAGACCACCACGTATGGCCTTAGTATAGATTAATGGACTCTGCTACAGAATTGTAACTGTCCAAAATCTGCCATTGGGGGGAAGAGATTTGTTTCACTTGACGGAAATGTTAAATAAAAAAAAAAATTATGATAATTTATTTTTCTTGCAGAAATTCCAAACCTCGATCCATTAATGGACGATGTCTTTCTACTGGGATTCCTTAGGGTACGAAAATTTGACGTCCAAAGAGCTTTAACAACTTTGCTTAAATTCTTCAAGTTCAACAAAGAATATTCCAGAATATATACCAATTTTTTGCCATCAGAAATGCAAAGAATCTTGGATATGAATGTGCTAACTGTTTTGCCGAAAAGACACCCTGGTGGAGCACTTATCGGTTACTGCAAATGCGGTAATTTCACTAAATATTTAAAACATTTAATTTAATTAATTATTTTACATTCGCTGGTTCTCAAACTGTGGTATACGTACTACTGGTGGTATATTATAATATTTTTAGTGGAGAAAATTTTACAGAAAATTAAATGAATGTTCAAAATGAATTTAAAATTGGGCCCCTTTCAACATTTTGTTTTAATATTTATTATTCAGAAACACAAATATTTTTCAAATTTATGACATTTGCGGCTCTCGCTTTTAATGTCGAAATGACGACTTTTTCAAGAGCATAACCTAATATTTCTTTGAACTAATGGCAAT